GTATTCTAAGGTCCCAATAGAAAACTTAGTATTTTCAAATCAAATTACCAAGAAAGAGTTAGAGTTTGAGATCAATTCCTTTTACCTAAAAATGAGTCTCTCACAAGTAAAGGGATGACAACTCGTGTTTCTAAGATCAAGATCTCTTCAGGATTCAGAGGGAAGTGCAAGACATCAAAGGAGATGTTGTCCAAAGACCAAGTTTCTCTCAGGATTGAGAGGAAAGGAAATTCGAGTTCAGATTCGAAAGTAGTTTGGAGTTTGTGAGATGTTTCTCAGAAGAAAGAAAGTAGGAGAACAAAGGAAAAAGTGAGTGAGAGGTCTTAGGCTCACAATACAAGTTTTAGAATGAAAATTCTTTAAATACCCTTTAAAACTCGTAAATTCTCGCTTGAGTGAGAAAATCACACAAAAATTAATATTTTTACTTGAGCGAAAACATGGAGATATTCTCCTAACCAAAAAGAATATTCTTTTAAAAAAAAAAACTCTCCCACTTTAAAAACAAGAAAAATGCAAATAAAAATTAGGGTGTTACAAGTACTGTTTTTAAAAATGACTTGCAACTGGACTCTTGGGAGGATCAATTGTGTATGTGAATTAAATTGATGATTCATTAACATGTATTGTTATTTTTCTCTAAATTTACAGCGAGTTAGAATACTTTTTATACTCTAAACTTGTCCTTAATAGAATGGTGATGCTTTCCAAAAAAAAATAAAATTAGAAGAACTTCAATATTATATTTCGATATCATATTTTGAACTTTTTTTCTTTTCCTTGCATATAGGGGATTTTTTTTTCTATGCACAGTGATTAACTACATTAATAATAATTGTCTAAAATAAGAATCTCGTATAGATTTAAAAAGTTGTTATTCTATGATTTTATTTGTTATATTTTAATTTATTTATTTTATTAAATTTGATATTTTATTCCTTTAAACTAGCTAAGTTTATTTTCGTTTAATTGTGAGAAGTGGTGTCAATATAATATGAATTTTAAATTTTGAATTTAGATTTTAAATTTAGATTTTGAATTTTGAAATTTAAATTTTTGAAATTAGATCTAAATTTTAAATTTAAATTTTACATTTAAAATTAAAATTTTAAATTTAGAAATTAATTTTGAATATAAATTTAAATTTGAATTTAAAATTTATCTTTTATTATCTTTCATTCTATTTTTTTTCACAATGTAAATATTTTTTGTTTAATTTCTTTTTCTTTAAATATTGTAATTATATATAATTAAATACTGTTGTGGGCTGAGATGAATTGTTTTTATATAATTCTTTTAATCCTCAGTTTAATTTTATGTTTTTTATGCTAATTGTTTCTTCATTGTTATTATTATTCTTAATTTAATTTTTTAATAATAAATTTTAATTAATTAATAATCAATTATTTCATTAATAGGTTAGTGAGAGAAAGAATGAATTTGGGTATACAAGTAAAAGAAAAATCAATTGATCATTTATATTTTCAATTGTTTAATTAATTTTAACAAATTTAATAAATTGTAATGCTCTTATTTAATTGTTATTATCTATGGTCATTAGAATAATATTTAAATAAAAGAGTATAATTGTTTTATAATGATTAGATAGTAGTGACAATTGTTAAATGATTAATAATTATAATACAGCATAATAATTTAAAATTAAATTTAATTATATTTAATTAGCCACAAAAGATCATCTAAGACCTAAATTTAATTCTATATAAAACTTTATTATGTGATTTATTAATTTTTTGTTCTTTTACCGATTTACTTTAATTTTATTATTTTTAAGCCATTACATGTTTTAAATTCAATTAATATTAAATATATGTGCTTGTGAATATATTCTGTGTAAAAACAATATTGGTTTAAAACACTCATTTTGCTACAATCAAGCATTTGCTCGTGAAAATTTTTTAAAAGTTGAAAATCTACAACAATATTATATAAGATTTCTGAACGTTTTCTTCTAAAAAAAATAAGTTATTTTCTTCTCTTTAATTTAAACTTAAATAATACATTAGGATATTTAATAAATAATAATTAAAACAATTATTTATTTTCAATTTATAAAATATATTAAATTAAAAAATAATTATAATTTTATTTTATAAAATTATCTTAATTTAAGAATAATTATAAAATTCACGAGAATATACTTAGTTTATATATATTTTAAATTACACCGATATGAATTATTCTTATTTTTATAATGTTTAATAATTTTTTATCAAAAAGATTAATCATAAAACTAATAGATCAATTAAAAGTCTCAATCGTATAATTCATATATAAAAAAATAAATCTTTTATAACATTATTATAATTATTTAATTTTAATACAATTTGATACAAATAATAAAAAATAATAGATAAAACTTACATCAAATTATTTTAATATCTCCCATGTATTATACAAATTTCTATTTCTATTTTAAATTGTAAAGTCATCTTAATTTTTTTTATTATTACATTTTTCTCTCTCTTTGACTATAATATTTTTTTATTAATTATCATACAATAAAAAATATATAAATATAACAATTACTATATTACTACGAAATTATCATAAATATGTCTATATATATAATTATTTTAATTTATAATAAAATATGTGTTTTTTATAACAAAAGTGAGTTAAATTAATATATAATATAATTATTTTGTTTTATAGATAAACTTAATTTCTTTTATTAATGCATAGTATAACGCCGCTTTCCTTGTGTCTGACTTTGGTTGCGACCGTGCGATGTCTACAATGCACACTGTAATTTGTGATTTTTAATGTAGTATTTTTAATTATTTTCATGTATTATCTTTATTCTTATGAAATTATTAATAATACAACTAATGTTACATGATAAACAAAATATCAATTCAATTTCTTTTTCAAAATTTTATATTGGCAAAGACAAACATGGAAATTATAGTGATATTTCCTTTTTGTTTTTTACATTATCTTTTACTATTTTAACTCAAATTTAACTTTATATACATCATATTAAGAGACTCTAATTTTATGGCCACGGTGTCAATGAAATTATTTTTTTCTTTCATGGCAATGAAGTTTCTAATTAGTAAATTTAAGATTTTTTTTCTTAAAGTTAAATTATATGTTTAATATACTACCTTTAAAAAAAATACCATTGCAAAGTTTTTTATAATAATAAAAAAGAATTTAATTTTAAGGTATCATCTATTTAAAAAAATTTATGTTGCCAACTAATTAAAATAGACCATGAATATAATCTTTAAATTAATTATTATAGATATTAATATTGTTTGTTAATTTGACAGTCCATATAAGTGATTATAAAAAAAATTACACTGTTAATATATTTAGTACTAAATTTTAATAAAATAATTTATACTTTATTTTAAAATTAAATTTTAGCTTGTATAACGTATTTACACTTGGTAATAGAGACAAATTTCAATGCCATCTATCTAAATGTAAATGATTTTATATTACTTAATTTAATTTTATATGATTTTATATAGATAACCTCAAATTGTCAGAAACTTCAGGCTTGATCAGAGTGAATCCACGTTCAGATTTTTTTTCTTGTGAACGGAAAATGTAATATGTTAAACTAATTTTTTGTCAATAATATTTTTTTAATCAGATTAGTATTTTAAATTTATCTATTAAAATTTTATTTTATTTATTTATTTAAATTCAGATTGTATACGAGATGTTATCTTATATCTATGACTTATTAAATATCCTTATGAAGTAATAAATATAATATAAAAACTTCTATAAAGTATAATATAATTAATAAAAAATACTAAAAAAATCAAACTGTACTAATTTAATTTAAAAACTAAATTTAAAAATATATTTAAAATTATTTTTGCATTCAAAATTAGATTTAAAACTAATTTAAATAAAATGATAATTTTAAAAATAATTTAACAAATAATATTAAATTTAAAAGTATTTTTAACCAAAATTAGAGATAAAATTAATTTTAAACGAACTTCAAGTTTTAAAATCAATTTTAAATTAATTTTAAAAATTAAAATAATTTAAAATTCAATCTATATAATTAAATTTAAAATAAGTTTAGATTAATTTGTGTCAACCTAAAGTCTAATCTATACACAGCACTAGTCACCTCTACCTTTAACGTCAGTATATATGTTTCTTCATCAATTCAATAATTTGTGTTAATGTTAAATATATATATATATATATATATATATATATATGCAAGTTATTTTCTCTAAAATTTAAAATAAATAGAAATTAAAAGTACAATAAATTTAATAAGTTATAAAAATATTTCATTTCATTTTTTATATTTATCTCAAACAGAAATATAAATAATTAGTAATTTTATTATCTTTTATTCTTTCACATATAATATTGGAGCTCTTCTTTTAATAAATTTCATGCCATAAAAAATTTATCGGTTTGTAAATAAAAAAAAAATTAAGGATGAAAATATGAAAAAAAAAATAGGATTCAAATTCAGGAGATAAAATAAAAGGTAATAAAATAAATTAAATAAAACTGAAAAGTTAAAAAATATTAAAGGAAATAAAAAATTTATTTTAAATTTGAATAAATTTTTTTAATAGTTTATGAAATAAGATAATTAAAGGGTATAAAATTTTTATATATCATAAATATATTATCGTGATTATTTTTTTAAATCGTTTTTATTTATTTTATCAATAATTATATATAATTTGTGATAAAAGATTTATATTTAATATTGTAATCAAATATTAAAATAACTTATAAGCTCCACAAAGAACAAACTTATTATGACGGTTAAATATTAGGGTTTTGGCTTTTTACATTTTAAATTTATCAGATAACCTTCACCAAAAGTTTTCTTGTTTCACGCCGTAGTGGTTTTTCGTTACCATTTGCTACAAACGTGCAAAAATAATAGGCGTTACACACTTAACATTTCTCAGACTCGTTGATAGAAAGAAGTGAGAAAAAAGTATAGAGGAGAGAAAGAAAGAGCAGAAGGTAAAAGAATGAGTGAAATTGAAGAACAAGATTTCATCAGTGCTCTTCCCGATTCACTTCTAAGTGCTATCATTTCTCTCCTTCCTGGCACTGAAGGTGTGAGAACCTGTGTCCTTTCCCAGCACTGGAAAATTATGTGGAAGTACACTTCACAACTCAACTTCAATCAGAGGCTAATGTTGAAGCCCTTTATCCAACCCTATCTTTGCAGGACAAACCTTCGCAAGCGTACTTTTACCCGTAAGATTGTTCACCAGGATGCAATTGCTCAAACAGAAATTTTGATCAATTCAGTGTTAGATTCGCACTTGGGTTCCTTGAAAAGATGCACCATTGTCCACATGCCTGAGAGTTGTGCGAGTGGTGAAGCTGTTGCATGGATGAAGAAGCTTGTGGAGCAGAAAAAGGTGAAGGAGCTTTACATGGAGAGGGATGTCCCTACGGCTTTGCAACATGTTCTTAGAGATGTTACAAGGACACTGGATTTACCTTTTGAGATTTTCACAAGCTTTGAGGTACTTGAGTTGAAGAATTATAAACTTAAGATTTCACCCTCTCGTGATGTTTCTTGCCAGGTTTTGAAAACTTTGACCCGTAAGAATGTGAATGTGGAGGTAGATGCTTGTGAAGGGATTTTATCTTATTGTTCGTATCTTGAAAATTTAACCCTTGATGGATGTAGTTTTGAAGTGGTAAAGATTCATAGTCCAAAGCTCAAATTTTTCAAGATTATTAAAATGGTTGTGACTGAGTTTGAGGTTTATGCTGGAAACCTTGAGGTCTTTGTTATCAATACTGTTGTTTGTAACCCTCGGAAGTTGGTTTTTGTGGCCCCAAATGTTCAAACTTTATGCTGTTTTTGTAATATGGAAATTGGAATGCGATCTTTTTGGCCGGATGGAGGCAAGCTCTTGACGTCAAATGAGATTCTAAATACTTCCACTGACATTCAGGTGAGTGTTTCTTCTCCATTCACCACTCCTTTGAGTTTTTTTTTTTTTTTTTATGATCAATATTTATAATAAAAGTAATAAAACTCAAACACTAGAATTTATCTAAGAGATTTCGATATTATGTTGTGAACCAACAATCAGAATATCTTACTTCATTAAATGAAGATACATGAACAATATTTAAATTACATCTTTGACCCACCTTATACGTAATAGTTTTAGATGTTTAATATAAAGAGTGATTTGAATCTATCTGTATTCATTCCAAACTAAGGCTATGAATTTTAAATTGTCCAACATTATTACTAATGCTTAATATATCTGACTATTTCTTTCATTGCTGTATTTCCTTACTGTCAGAGTCCTCAAGATCCAACTACAAGCTTTGCTAGCACATTTGAGAATCTTGTTACTCTACGTATTGATTTAGATTTGAAAACCATTACCGATGCCATGACTCTCTTTTCTGCTCTTAAATCATGTCCTAATATACAGAACGTTGAAATTAATACCCATGTGAGCTTACTTGAGCAACCATATATTATTCTTTTCAATTATATTTTTATATGCTTTAGTAGTGCATTACGTAACAGTTTCTTCTTACTAAACAGCTCAACAATTATCCAAGGAATTATTTCTTTAATGGGATTGTATGATGAACATAGCAACGATGATGTTCTGTCTTGCCCCAAACGCTTATATTGGAGGCAAAGGGACCCCTATGAGTGTGTGGATCACCAACTAAAGACCCTTTGCATAAGGGGATTTTCCGGCAAAGAATTGGAAGTTGAATTTCTGAAATATATAATAACAACCGCAGAAACCTTACAGAAAATTACTGTTTGGTTTGTAGACAATAGTTCATGGGCAGAAGCCACTGAAACTCTGTGTTTGCTATCATTTCAAAGAGCCTCTAAGAACCTGTCCATTGTTCTCAATCCTGGACCACTGTACATGGAAATTGTAGATGGGAGCTTTGATGAGTGGGTCTTGTCTCTAAGAAAGAATTGAAGTAAGGTTTGGTGTGATTTTATACAAACTTATTTTGAAATCCATTTAAATTAAAATAATGTACATTATTTACATCGAAGTACTTGTAATTAATCATAACCCAATGGACTAGTTGAAAACTAATTTAACTACCAGCTGGGTTAGTTATGTGCCTACGAAGTAGTGAGAGATGTATACTTAGAAATCTGCAATATATGCAGAAGAAATAATCAGCAAGGTGCTTACAGCTGTGCACCTGCTACATTCTGTTTATTTCGTGGATATATTTAAGAAGAAAGAACCATTTTCTTATACCTGTAAATATTTAAAAAAATTTATAGTCAATCTAAATTTTTTATTTAACTTATATTTAACAGGCTAATAAAATAATAAATTATAATCTGTGTAATAAATTATAATATGTTAGATATAAATTATATAAAAGGCTCAAATAATTTAAATTTAGTATAATAATTTTTAAACTTACATTAATATGATATGAGAAAATCATGCTCTTTTAAGAATATTAACCCATGCAATTTTTAAAAATAATTTTGTACATTCATTAAATACAAATAGATTCTAATGCACGTTTCATTTAATTTTACATATTAATTAAGTTTTTTTTTTTTATCAACTACACAAATGCAATAGTTTAGAATCAAAATAAATTATTTATTTAAATAAAAAGAATTAAATGTATTCTTATCCTTAGCTGGCAAATCATAGGCATATTTGTTCTTAGCTTTGCTGCTTGTCCTTTTAAATGTTTATAACCACAAATTGATGGGAGAGGCATGAGTGACGAAGCAATTAGAATATATATAATAATTTTGTTTTTTTAACTAAGGTTTTATACAAGTGGAAAATTTAACTGATAAGATTAAATAGGTATCTTCTAATTGGATTTCTTCTAAAAATGACATGGCGCAGAGGATTGTTTCAAGATTATCTGCTGTTACAATCCAATTCAATGCTTGAAAGTATGGAATGGAACGTAAGGGTCTGTTGCATTGGATTAATTGGTTGTTAGTATATGACTACCTCCTCCTCCTTTTTAATATTATTGTTGTTGATAATAATAATAAAATATTAATAGTACATTACTAAAAATTGTCATTTATTAACAAACAAAACTGTAAAGTATTATTATTATTATTATTATTATTATTATATCGATTGAATTGTTTGTTAGTATAATACACATAATATTAAATAAGCTTACGATATTTATACTAATAACTTAATTATAATAAGAAAAAATTTATATCAACTAAAATAATCTTAATGTTTATCAATTTTTATTTATGAATAAATGTCCTTTTTTTATAGTTTAGCAAAGATAAAAAAAATTATTAGACATAACCAATAATGCAGTTTAAATGTTTGTAATGAACTCGTGCAGATTTTTTAAATGTGGCAAACTACACATCTAAAGCTTCTAGTAAAAAGTTGCACAAAGTTTGAAACTTTGAGTGAAAATATAATCACCCATAATCAAATGGTTGACGAAAGAAGAGTTATGTTATTTATAATTATTTTATTTTATTTAATTCAGATTAGATAAATATCTAATATGATTTTTAAATATTATATTTTTAAAAAAATATAATTAAGATTAACCTAAGAGTACATAATATTTATATTTTACCAAAGTTAATAGATATTGATTTTTGCAAAAATTAAAAATTTGGAGTTATTTGCACTTAGCAATAAGAAAATATTAAAAATTTACAAGAGAACGTTACTATATCAAAAGTCTGTAATTTCAAGACCAACGACACTAATCAAATTTCTAAATTTTCTTTTAGCAATAAAGTAACTAATTAAAAAAATTTAATTTTAGTGTAACGTCTGAATAAAAATTCTTACACCACTAATTGATTAAAATTTATTTTAGATATAATTTTATATTAATTATTACATAAACTAATAAATTAATATAGCAAATTTTAATTAATGACATTGTTGTTATTATATTTAAATTTTTTAATAAAATTTAAAATATCATTCTTAGCAAAGTTAGTATATATGTTAAAAATAAATATAACTTATTTGTAAGGCATAAAGTAGCAAGTTTATATTATAATAATATAAATATTTTTATGAATTTAATTTGATACACCAGAAGAATTAAAAATTTTACATTTTCAATCAATTAAAACACATTATAAATATAATTTATATATTAATTTTGATAAAAAATTAAAATTTATATTATTATGACAACTCATATAGGTGACAATATAAAAAAAAAATTACATTGTAAATGTATTTAAATTAAATTCATAGTTTATTATTTTTTATAAAAATTAAGCTTTAACTTATTTAGCTAGGTAACGTACTTGCATTGGGAAGAGACAATTATCTTAAATATTTTAATATTAATTAAATTCATTTATTAACACCAAGCACTCAATTTGGTTTAAAAAAAAAATCTCACATCATAATCACCTGAGTCTTCTTTAAGAAAATTATTAATAATACAATTAATGCTATATATATAAAAAAATATATCTCAAATTCAAATTTTGTTCAAAATTCAGTATATGGCCAAAACCAAACATAGAAAGTTAAAGTTGTATTACCTTTTACTACCTGAGTGAGAAAGCTGACCCAACTCGCGTCTTTCATGCATTATGCTGTTTCATTTCATAAATGACCAAAACCATTTATTACCTCAGCAATCAAAATGAAGCTACTCGTGTCCTCCATGCATTCTACTGTTTCATTTCATACATAAACAATCTTCAGTACATAGAATTCTAAACCACCAAACCCACACTCACTTTCCTCTCTCCCTTGATCTCAACTCTCATATGGCGCCCCCCCTTTCCAACTCTTCTTCTGCAGCCAGAGACATGGGGGACATGGGGGACAAAAGAATCAGAAAGAGACCAAAGATGGAGAAGGTGATGGGAACTGAGGTGGTTGCAGATTTCATCAGCAACCTCCCAAATGAGATCTTAATCATTATTCTCTCTAAGCTTCGAATTGATGAATCTGTGAGATGTGGTGTTCTCTCAAAGAGGTGGTTGGGTCTCTGGAAACATACTTTACATATCGAAGTTGATATGAGGTACATGATAAAGCCTATAACCCAACTTTTGCAAGCAAGGAAGCCTCGCACACTCCCAGATTTCAATACTCTTTCTCCATCCATGCTTAAGGTTGGTTATGGCTGTAATACTCGGGTCATCTTATTGATACTTAGTCACTCAGGTCTCACATCTAGTTGTCGATTTCGGCATTTGAATAGGAGCTTTGGGTTTGGGGAGGTAGAGACTTGTATTGATTTGCTGATTGATAGGAAGAAAACGTTGAAAGATTTGAGTCTTGAGTGTGTATCTGATTGTAAAGAAACCGCTGAAAAAATCGTGTCTGAAGAGAATACTTATATACTGAATTTCCCACCTGGGAGTTTTGAAACTCTTGGTTCACTTGAATTGATCAATTACACAATTGACTGTTGCCTCCCTTTTGAGAAATGTAGCGTACTCAAAAACCTTAAGCTTAAAAGGATCTATCTGGATGATGTAACCCTTAGTGGGATTTTGGAAAACTGTGTGTTGTTGGAAAATTTCATGTTACTTGAGTCAACTGGGTTTGAAAGCCTCGTCATTGTGAAATCAAAGCTTAAAGTTTTGCAAATCCAAGCATTATGTGTGGAGGAGATTGAAATTATTGCCGAGAACCTTGAGGTTCTTTTGCTTGATTCTATCATTTGCTCAGCAAAGGATGTAAGTATTCATGCCCCATTCCTCAAGACTTTTCGTTCTTACAACTATTCAATGTATGCAAGAATGGTTTCCAATGAAGAAAGGAAATCGATTATGAAAGCCCATCAGATCTTTGCACGCTGTGCTGATCTTCTGGTACGTTCCCTTGAATAGTTCTAATGTCTTATGACATCTTTTGTATATGACTACACTATTTTATATATCGTTGTCTTCTATAATGTGTTTTCAAAACTATGTAGATCGGATCATTGGACTACATATACCTGTTAAACTGTCATGCGGTTGAACATTTAAATTGCTCTTCAGCCACACCAAAAACTTGATATCATATCATCCAAAATATATTTGTAAAATAATAATTTCAGTTCAATAGATTCAAACATGGATTGGATTGATTTTTAACATTTCTGGCAGCTTATCCTGATATGACTCAGTTATCTGAAGTTTTCAACACAAGTTACTTAGACTGGTAAGATTGTGTTGTGGACTATAATCTCGTGTTTGATTGATGCTAGTAATGTTTCATTGGTAAGCTATTTGAAGTCCTTCTAGGGAGAAGAAGCAAGGGAGTGGCAACTAAGCAAAAATAGTCATGTAGCAAACAGAATACCAACTCGTGCTGTAATGGCATCATCGCAAATTGCGCTTTAGAAATTATATATTATAATTAGATAGATTTGTTTTGAAAGCATTCGTTCTTTTTATGAATTAGGTTTTCTCCTTGTATATCAAGTATATTGGATGTTAACTATCTTTTCTTTATGTTCCAGGGACCAACAACTTGCAATATTTTTCGAAATTTATCAACCTTATCGATGGACTTGGATTTGAACAACATAAGAGAAGCTGGAATTCTTTCTTATATCATGAGATTATGTACAAATTTACAAGTTATCGAAATCGCTCTACCTGTATGTATTGCTATCCTTTATTGAAATTTCTATCACAATATTTCGTTCTTGACAAAACTATTAACAAATTCTGTGCTTTACAGGTTTTCAGACCAAGAAACCCTAGTGGCAGTAGCTCTAGTCATTCTGACTCAACGTTTTGGGAGAGGCGAGAATTGTGCTACTGTATTCATCAAAAGCTGAAGTTCGTGTACATGAGAGGATTCAGAGGCAAAGAACAAGAAGTAGAATTTGCGAAGTACCTGATAACAAGGGCCACTGCGATGGAGAGGATTACCCTAATCTGTAGTGACTCAATGGGAGTGGCTGAAAATTTGTTATCACTGCCTAAGGCTTCTGGTAAACTCTCCATCAATTTGAAGCTGAATGCAAATAATCCTTTGGATGAGTTTGATAAACATCAAAATAGGTTGCTAAAGCGGTAAAGATTTCTGAGTTCCTATATGAGGTTCATGTCAAGCTAATAGTTGACGCATGTGTCGTCAACTAATAGACAATATTGCATAGCTTGTCTTAAAATTCTCTGACTGCTTTGAACTTATGTTACATTTGCTTCCGGATTTGTACTGTTGAAGTTGTTATTGCTTTCTGTGATCGGATGGTTCTTGTTACTCTTTTATGCATTGACAATTATTTATTCTGGATAGAAATTTTAACGTGAGTGTGATGTCGTTGTTACCCATATTAATGCTTCAGAATTACTGTTAAAAATTACCACCAATCACGCAGATTTTCCGGTTGGAATTATTATCTGGTAGGAATTATTTCAACGTGTAGTTTTGAGTTCTACTATTAGTTAATGAAGTTGTGCTAAATACTCGAAAATAAAATGTTATTGCTTATAACAGTATCATGACTTAAATGTAATATTTTTACGAGTTTAAGTAGCAACATTTATAATACCTTCACTGTATTTTGATTTTTATTCAATGACAACATTTTTTAACTTTGTCAACTATATTCATCTATCAATATTCAATATATTATACCTTAATCGAATTTATATACAACTCTCATTAAATGAAATTCTTTGTAGAAAGAATTTTACATCTACACAACTTTTTTTTTTGTCCTATGAAATAAATTTAAAACATACGAGAGATTCTCTAATCCATAAAACATTTCAAAGTAAAATTACAAAACCTTTTATACACGAGAGGTTTCTTCACATATCCACTTGAAAAAAAAAAAAAAAAAAGAGACAGTAGTCGTTGTTCTAAGCCAAGTCCAATATGATAATTTTATTACCTTCATTAAATATTCAAAACCTGGGCTTTTTATATGTAAATACAATACCTTTTCAAATGTTAATAATTTCAAGACTAAAAGACTTTTACAAGTAACATTTGCTCTCACTTTTCATTGACAATATACGCACATAAATTCTATAGCAAATCTTATATTCTATACCTACTTTCTCTTATATCTATTTGTAAATTCTCTTTTCTTTTTCTATTGTATCATATATCACTTTTTTTTCTCTCTTTATTTGTTTCTTTCTTCCTAATTCTCTCTTTCCACCTATTTAAACCAGAGAGTGTCTAAGATATCATTTTTCTTTCTACAACTCGCGCACCGCCACTTTTCATTTTCACCACGTTAACAAATTTCTCACGTTTTCTCTCCTATGCATCGATCACCTGAAAGCACACACTTACACAAACACAACATTCACGCTCTCTCTCTTTCACTCACTATTCACACATGTATGCATCTACAAACTCACATATATAAATAGCACATAACGCTCACATTATTACACATCACAATCACACGCACTCTTCCTTTTTCCATTCACTCATATCTCCTAAGGTTCTTGAAAGTTTGGAAAAAGATGGAAGGAAAAAATTTAAAAGCTAAGAGAAAAAAAGATAAATAAAGATTAATAAAAAATATTATAAAATAAATAACTTAAAAAATCTATTATCAGCCATTAATATTTCAGTTTATGTTAGTTATTCTTTATTGTTTTTCCGTTATTTTGTTATAAGTTGTTAGGTAGTTTGTTTTCTGATTTTTGGCTTGTTCTTCTCTATCTTAGCTATATTTGTATCATTTTGTTCAATTCAATGCCAATACAATATTTTCAATTGTCTCTTTCTTCACATTAAGATGGTATCAGAGCTCTTCCATAGAGCTCTGGTTCGTCTCTGATCGTTCGTTCTATTTTTTTTTTCTTCTTTTTCTTTCTCGTGGAACTCCAAGAATGGCGAATCAAAGCTTTGCTGATTTCACAACCAATCCTTTGAACCCATAATATCTTCATGCTAATGAAAATCCTGCTCTCGTTCTTATTTCTCTGGCTCTTAATGGCAAGAATTACCATGTTTGGGCTCATGCTATGAAGCTAGCACTCAAATCGAAGAACAAAATCATATTTGTCGATGGTAACTTTGTTGAACCTTTGCAATCTGACCCGCTATATGAAGCCTGGGATCGTTGCAACACTATGGTCCTTTCTTGGATCCAACACTTTGTAGATGCATCGATATTGAAATCTATTCTATGGGTAGAGAAAGCCTATGACGTCTGGAAGGATTTGTACAATCGTTTTAACCAAGTGATATATTTCGTGTTGCCGATCTCCAAGAAGAGTTATACAAGTTAAATCAAGATAGCCTTTCTGTAGCTGAATTTTACACCAAACTGAGAACTATTTGGGAGGAGATTGATAATTTTCATCCTCTCGCAAATTGTAAGTGTTTCATCCCTTGTTCTTGCGGTGCAATTGAAGTGATTAAGACATATAAGAAGCAAGATTGTGTAATTCATTTTCTTAAAGGTTTGAACAAACAATACTCCTCAGTTAGATCACAAATCATGTTGCTTGATCCTCTACCTGATGTTATAAAAGTATTCAACATGGTTATTCAGCAAGAACGTCATCTTAATATGTCTTCTTTGTCGATTGACTTTGTTACCGATGTTAAAAGTCTAGTTGTATCATCAAATCATAATTCTCAATCGCAAGGCAATACAAATGGAACATTTTGTGATAGAGGAAGATCTAACAATAACAATAAAGGTCGTGGAAGAAGCTATGGTGGAAGAGGCCAACAAGACAATAAATTTTGTACCTATTATGAGAGGACTAACCATACCGTTGACACGTGTTATTTCAAGCACGACTTCCCACTAGAATATCAATCTAAATTTGCAAGAATGGCAAATTTTGCAACTTCACTTTCTTTAGATTCAAGAGTATCTAATGACTCAAATCTTCAAGAGGTCGCTCCACTTGTTACTGGTTTCACAGAAGAGCAATATCAATGTATTCTTGATCTTTTACAGCAGTCTAAATAGCTTGTACACTCAGTGAATGCAGTTAATGTTCCTTCTTTTTCACACGATTCCACTTCAGGTAACCGATATGACATTTGGTTAATTGATAATGGAGCAACAGATCATATCACCTTTAATCTCTTTAGCCTTGTCAATTGTAAGCTTGTTAAACCAATTCTTATTTCTCTACCAAATGGAGTCAAAATTCTCACAAACATAATTGGCATAGTAATTTTTTCTGAAACTTTAGTCTTACATGATGTTTTATATGTCTCAGCCTTTCAAGTAAATCTTATTTTTGTCTCAAAATTAATTCATGTCATGCATTGTAATCTATTTGTTGATGAGCACTACTGCTTTATTATGTAGAAATTTACCAAGAAGATGATTGGTTCAGCTAAGGAATACCATGGATTATACATGATCAATGCACCTACACCTAAAGAAACTCAGTCTCTTAGTGTCACAACCAATACAATATCTACTAAGGATAGTGATATATGGCATCTTAGATTAGGTCACATTTCTGATTCAGTCATGAAAGTTGTTTCTAGACAACTTCCTTTTATCCCTCCCTGTGACATTCCCTCTCCCTATGATATTTGTCATTTCTCTAAATAAAGAAAATTGCCACATTCCACTAGCAATTCACATACACATAAAATTTTTAAAATTCTTCATGGGGACATTTGGAGCCCTTTTTCTATTTCATCTATTTTTGGTCATAAATATTTCTTAACCTTGGTAGATGATTTTTCTTGGTTTACATGGATTAAATTGTTGAAAACAAAATCTGAGGTTAGAACACACATAACTCACTTTGTTTCATGATTGAAACTCAGTTTGAGACCAAATTGAAATGTTTTCGAAGTGACAATGGATCTAAGTTTTTAATGCATGATTTCTTTCAATCCAAAGGAATAATCTACCAAACCTCATGTGTTGAAACACCTCAACAAAATGGTGTAGTAGAGAGAAAGCACAAACACATTTTTAATGTGGTAAGATCTTTACTTTTCCAAGCCAATTTATCAAAAACCTTTTAAAACTTTTTTGTACAACACTTTGTTCACATCATCAATAGATTACTTTCTCCTCTCCTAAAGTTTCAATGCCCTATCAATTACTATATGATAAACCTCCAAATTTGACCAACCTTAGATTTGGCTGTTTAGCCTATGCCAACACACTAATAGCTCACAGATCAAAATTCTGTCCTAAAGCAAGGAAATGTAGTTTTATTGGTTATAAGGAAGGCACAAAAGGATACATTTTATATGATTTGCAGTCACATGATTTTTTTGTTTCCAAAAATGTCCTATTCTATGAGTCTACCTTTCCTTTTGTAAATACTCAGCAAACATTCACACACACAACACCTAACATTGTTCCTCTTCTTTCTACAATTTCACCCATTGCTAATATACCCTCTACCTTGCCAACTACATCTTCTTCACCCCAACCACACAATGTTCCATTCACCTCTACCACATCACCCCTCCCACTCTACTAGACCAACCTCCTCAATCCACTAATATAGATTCTGTCCCACCACCACAGCCTATTAGACAATCAACCCGAGCCAAACACAAGCCATCATACTTGTCTGATTATCATTGTAATTCTGTGATTTCCTCAAGCTGCCTCACTCATCCTTCTCCAAGTAATTCTAACCATCCTTTTTCCAAGGTTCTATGCTATGACAATTGTTCTCCTTCTTATAAAAATTTTTGTTGTTCTATTATTTCTACCCCTGAACCCACTTCTTATACTCAAGCTTCCAAATTAGACTGTTGGAAAAAGGCTATGAATGTTGAGTTAATTGCTCTTCAGCAAAATAATACTTGGTCTCTAGTTGACCTCCCCAAAGACAAGACTCTCATTGGATGCAAATGGGTCTACAAAGTGAAATATCATGTTGACAGATCCATAGAGAGATATAAGGCCCGCTTAGTAGCCAAAGGCCATACGCAATTAAAGGGTGTTGATTATTTTGAAACTTTTTCACCAGTTGTCAAAATTACTACTGTTAAAGCTCTTCTAGCTGTTGTTGTAATAAAAGGCTGGCATTTAGAACAGCTTGATGTGAATAATTCCTTTTTACGTGGTTCTTTGGATGAAGAAGTTTACATGGTTCCTCCACCCGGCCTTCTCCCTTCTAGTTCTACTAAAGTTTGCAAGTTGCATAAGTCTCTTTATGGCCTCAAACAAGCCAGTCGCCAGTGGCACTCAACTCTGTCTGCTGGCCTTTTATCTCTCAAATACAAACAGTCCAGTGCTGATCAATCACTCTTTGTTAAAACTTCTTCTTCTTCTTCTTTTATTGACACTCTGGTTTATGTTGACGATATAGTCCTCACTGGTGATGATCTGCATGAAATCTTCTCTGTTAAAAGGTTTCTGGATGACAAGTTTAAAATTAAAGATCTTAGGTCTTTGAGATATTTCCTTGGACTTAAAATTGTTAGGTCCAAACGTGGCATTCATATGAATCAACGCAAATACTCCTTAGAACTCTTAGAAGACAATAGTTTGTTGGGGTATAAGCCTGCTAAAACACCTTTTGATCCGTCAATCAAGCTTCAATTTGATCGTGGTGATCCAATTTATGACCCAGCAGCATATCGCAGACTTGTGGAAAGATTGATTTACCTAACAATCACCCAACCGGACATTGCTTACTTAGTTCAACAATTGAGTCAGTTCATGCCTAAGCCACTGAATTCTCATTACAAAGCCGCTTTACGGGTCCTGTGTTATCTGAAGGCTTCCACTACTCAAGGTCTTTTATTCTTTTCTGATGTAGAGCTTCACCTCTCTGCTTTTGAGGATTCTGACTGGGCGTGTTGCCTTGATACTCGTCGTTCTATAACCAGATTTTGTGTCTTCCTTGGCTCCTCTCTCATTTTCTGGAAATCTAAGAAGCAGACCACAGTATCTCGATCTTCCTCTAAAGCTGAATACCGTGCTTTCGCAAGTTTAACGTGTGAAATTTAGTGGTTGCACTATCTCTTTCTCGACCTCAACACCAAGTTAGAACCAATTTCAGAATATTGTGACAGTCAGTCTACTATTCATCTTGCTCATAATCCTGTCTTCCATGAGTGCTCCAAATATTGAGATTGATTGCCATGTCGTCCGTGAAAAGCTTCAACAATGGCTCATCCGCTTGCTTCCGATTCCATCCTCAAATCAGCTTGTTGATGCTTTCACCAAGCCTATGTATCATACCACCTTGGATTCCTTTGTATCCAAGTTGGGACTATGTAATATCCACCACCCAACTTGAGGGAGTATTACCAGTCATTAATATTTCAATTTACGTTAGTTATTCTTCACTATTTTTTTGTTATTCTGTTATAAGTTATTAGGTAGTTTATTTTTTAATTTTTGGGCTACTCTTCTCTATCTCAGCTATATATATAAGACTGATAGCTCTAGTTGAAAGTAAAATTTGTATCATTCTGTTCAATTCAATGCCAATATAATATTTTCAATTGTCTCTCTCTTCTTCCAAACTAGAACATTAAGAATATCAAAACTCTCAAACAATAGTTATAATCAAATAAACATCCATCTTTTCTTCCTTTCCTCCCATAAACTAATTTCCAAATAAAGGGGTTGTGTTTCAATGGATTTTAAAATTTTAAAAATATAAAAGCAATAACAAATGATGCTAAGTTAAGTGTGGAAAAGGTTATAAATAATAAATATAAAAAGTTACACATAATAGAAAGAGTTTTAAATTATCTCTAAAAAGTCATTTAAATTTTTTTTTATTTGACATAAAAATTGTCTAATAAAATTTTATAGTATTTTAAAACTATTTTTTCTTATTATTCAAATACATAAATTGTAAAAATTTTAAAATTTCATATCCAAACAAAAAGAATTTTAGAAGGGATCGATGATCTGGCAATAAAAGATTAAGTTCTAGAAGCCTTGAGGGAAACGAGACGGGTTAATATTGGGTTTCATTTTGATCGGTGTGGTATATAAAATTCAAATAAAGTTGAGGTAGGGGCTGAGTTTTGGATTGAAAACATTGGGGTTTAAACAAAAATGAAGATTAAAAGCCCAACTAAAAAGAATGAGTCCAAATTTAGTTAGTGACATTGGGTTGAACTATGGGTCCAATATTTTGGGTCTGGAATCCTATAGGCAACGTTTAAAGAATAATAACTTCATTGATAAAAAAAAAAAGAAAACAGTACAATAACTTATCAGTAATAAAAGGGGTGGATAATGAATGCTGAAAGTTGGGCCAAGTCACGTCTTTTTTTGTTTCATATTCTCACAAGTTGGGCTTTTTGAATTTCCTAATTATGCCAACGGCTTATGTACCCGCTGTCAGACTTTGTCTGTAGTGTTTAGTTTTAAATATTTGGGCCTTTTTCCCATTCCACTATTTGCTATGAGCTAGGGTCGGGACTTTTTGGTCCTTCATTTAATGGGAAGTTACATTCAGTTTAAAAAAATAAAAGCCATTCTCTTGAAATATGGAAAAAAAAAAAAAAAGGCCTTCTCTTCCAACATCATCGTTATTATCATGATCGTAATAATAAATGAAGTACTTAAATATAACAATTTAAATTGTCTCTGTTTATTATTTAAGTTATAATTATTATTATCATTGCTATTATAGTTGTAGTCTTATTTTTAATAAATATTTTTTCTCGTAAAGAATTAATTTGTATGTCATGCAAATAAAATAGTAATAAATTTTAAAATTATGTTTCAATCCCAAGTTGTTCCCAAAAAAGAAAAAAAATTCAAGTGTATTACTCAAAAAAAATTTTAAGAAGACAAAAATGAAAGAATATCCACCCAATTTTTTTGCAAGTGCAATGTGCTGATTACTATACCGTTCATGTGATATAATTTCGTAAAGGTTACTGTGTAACTATACCATCTTATACTTTGTGCAAGTAAATTTTTTTATGTTTTTTATTTCTAAAGAAAAAAAAAACTTATGTCTACGATGTTTTAAAATTGCAGAACTGTCTTTAAATTTATTCAATAATAAGTAATCACAATGACTAACTTACTAAGAAGCACTTCGATAACACATTAACAAAGAACACTCGGACATGTGCAATATGTTACTTAAAACTAAGGGTCTAAAGGTAGTATTCAACATAATTCAAAAGAGACTATCCCTCTATAGAGGAAATTATGCATAAAGTCTAAATGGCTGGCACTAGAGTTTGCGAAAGATGATGTGAGCACCAAATTTTGGATTAAGAGTGAGCACTGTGACTGGAGCATGTGCATAGGAAGGAGAAAGCTCAAATGAGAAACGTCGTAAAAGCAATGCCAAAGCCATCTTTGCTTCAAGCATAGCAAAGTTTTGGCCTACGCACACTCTTGGACCCCATCCAAATGGAAAAAATGAGACTTGGCCCTTTGTAGCCTTTGCAACTCCTTCAGAAAACCTTTCTGGTTTGAACTCAGTAGCATCATCTCCCCAGATATCACGATTCTGATGAATCAGTAGTATTGGTAAGGAAATATGTACTCCTTTAGGTAGGAAAAGGTTTCCAAGCTTCACATCCTTTTTCACAGCTCGACTAAAATACATTATAGGTGGGTATAACCTCAGAACCTCGTATAATATCATGGTCACCTATGACAAACAAAGATAAATTAAGAAATGTATTAAAAAGTGTGTTTAAAAAATGTATTGTTAATGTTTTTAACAATAATTAACATAAATTTAATAGATTAATTAATTTATTATCATAAATAACGTATGGTTTATTTTTAAGTAAAATATTTGTTTCTATTACTTTTTCTTTCAAAATCTCTCTTCCAAACAACTTTGTAAAACTATGTGATACTTACAATTTTAAGGCGACTTAGCCCATCATAGTCCGGCTTTTGGTTTCCAATAACATTCAACACTTCCTCCCTAGCACGTTCTTGCCAATCGGGAAACCTACTCAACAATATCATTGTCCAAACAAGCAGAACCGATGTGGTTTCTTGCCCTGCTAGGTAGAATGCATTACATTCCTCAACAACATCTTGATTGGTCATTTTCGCAGTCTTTTTGTTTCCATTTTCTTGCATTTCCTTGTGATTTGATTCCAAAAGTATTCCCAATAAGTCATTGCTCAGAACTTCACCAGCCGCCATTGCCTTCTCTCGTTTGTTGACGATACCTGCAAGTAATGCTCGTACATCTCTATTAATTTGTCTCATCTTCTTATTTATAGCTGTTGGTAGCAACCTACAAATAGATCGTATAAATACTCTTATTAAATGAATATTATACGTACAGGTCTGAAACAATGTTTAGCTATGCCTAGCAATGTCTAGGTAAACAATAAAAAAAATTGATAAAAGTAGTTTTTTATTTAATTTAGTTTTTGAAGTATTTTTTTTAAGTTAGTCATTTTTATTAGTTCTATTACATAGATGTCCTAGTTAACACTGAGATATCTTTCATATCATTTATTTAAATTAATTTAAATTTTTATTTAAAAATAATTAAATTTATCTAGGTCATGCTGGCTTCTTCATTTTTCTTTTTCTTCTCTCCTTATATCTCTCCCGCCCCTTTCTTCCCAAACCTACTTGCTTTGTCTTACCATTCCAGTTTTACCCTTTCACAACATTCATTTTCTCTTCCCACAACCCTTTTTCCTACTCTTCTCTTCCTTCTCTCATAGCTTTTTCACTCTTTCTTCAACTCATTAGTCTATAAAATCCATCTATTCTAAAGTTAAAAGATGGAAAAAATTAATTTAAAAAAAAAAAAAACAAATAATTTAGTTAACTTCAGTATAAAAAAATTGAATTTAAATATTTATAAATAAAAAAGATTATAAAAAAAATACATATTTATTGTATTAACGTCATAAGAGTATAATGAATATTTTTTAATAAATTTTATTATTATTCTTAAGGAATGAAAAGGTTAACAAAATTCATAAAAATAACATGATTTTTATGCCAATGAATATATATTAATAGTCTTACCACCATCCTGGAATGTAATAGGTCCGTAATTGCGTAACAGTTCGAGCTTGCTCTTTCAAAAGTACAAAAATTTTCTTTCCTTCTTCATAACTGCTTCCAAATGCAGTTTTAGAAATAACATCGCAAGTCATATTTTGGAGGAAAGGCCATACGTCAATTTCACATTTGCCGTCAGAAGACAGCATCCCTTCCCATTGGGTAACCAAATCATCGCAACATTGATAAAATATAGGTATCATGATCTGCAAGGTAATGAAAACATGAATGAAATTTTCTAAAGTACTTGCTTAACATGTTTCTAAGTAATTAAAAATTCAAATAAAGTACAACCATAAATTAAAGTATGTATATAAATATATGTATTTATAACCTTTAGTTTATCTAAATAGAAAGCAGGGGTGATAATCCTTCGATGAACCTGCCATTTTTCGCCCTCTAAATTTGCGAGTCCAGTGCTCAATAACTGGAAAAGGGGGTTCAACTGAGGTTTCTCAAAATCATGGTTCTTGTTGAAGACTTCCTTGATTTGCTCCATGTTTGTGAGGATCACTTTTGGTCTGGTACCTTCCCAGAAAAATGAGTAATTGCCTACACATGATTAGTGCAATATGACATCAACTATTTGAATAGGATTAAGAATTAACGACCTAAGATAAACATGTTTCAGAATTGAACAAAATGCATATAAAGGTGAGATTTTTTAATATAAAATCTTTATATTTAATTGATATATTTATAAATTGGCTAAGATCCACGACCATTTGACCAAACAAGAGTAATATTTGAAATAAATTAAAAATAAAATATTTTTTAAGATCTGTCGTAATTTTATGACAGACAAATGTTGCGATCATTGCTCAAGTGAGCAACGAAGTACATGTATTGCACCACACGGCATCATAATGTACGTATAAGTCACCCCATAGCTTTGTCCTTCAATATTATATTAGTTAAGCAATTATAAATAATACGAGTACTCTAGCTCGCTTGCTCATAGCATCATTATCAATTAAAAACTCAGATAAAGGTTGGTTTCTTCACATATGCCTTCTGAATATAAAACTTTTACTTTTATTTTTTAATTATATTTTTTGTCCTTATAAATATAAAGCATTTTACAATAATTCTTTATAAAAAAATTTATTAGAATTTAGTTCCTAAAAAATTAAGAAATTAAAATTTAGTTCTCGACTTTTTTCTGTTAAGTGCTAAGCTGACGGAATATTAGCTCAACACATCTATGTGACTCCACATGACATGTATGTCATTTAATTTTTTTTTATTATTTAAAATTATATAATTGCAAATAAGTTCCTAAATACATTTTACACAATTGTAGAAAAACTTGTTTAACTTTTTTTCTTTCTTTTTCACAACCCCTCTCCTCACCTTCCCACAACCCCATTTCAGCACCCTTTTTCCACCCTCACTCCTTCCCCCTCCCCTCATTAATACTTTTTTATTTTTCATTGAATTAAACTCTTTCTCTTCACTCCATATTTAAAACTTTCATTTTTAAACTTTGTACACGTTTCAAATTAATCTTTCATCGCCTAACATAAAACCTTCACACAACCTCTTAATATCTAAAATACAAACAAAAATTTAATAAAAAAAAATTAAGGAACGAATTGGTAATAGAGATACGAATTAGGGAAAGGATAGGAGTTAGGAGTGGGATAAGGGAAGGAGTGAGAGTAGGATAATAGGGAAAGAATTGGGGTTGAGGGGAGGAGAGGGAGACATGGTAGTGCGGGTGTGAGGAATAAGAAAGTGAAGGAAAAGAGATGGGGTGGTGTGGATGGAAGGAATAGAAAGGGAGAGTGGGAGAGAGAGGAAATGTGGATGAGGATAGGAGTATAGGGGTTGGAGGAAGAGGGACGTAGGGAAGGAGTAGTGCGAATGTGGGTTTGGAATGAGGAGTGTGGAGAAGGGAGAGGAAGTGGTGCAAATGAAGGAATGGGAAGGGGTGGAGAAAAGAGGTGGTGAAGATGGGGTGTTAGAGGGAGAGGGGTGTGGATATTTGAGGAAGAAAGGGTATGGAAAAGGAAAGGAATGGTAATAGGTAGTACACATGGGAGAATGAAAAAGGGTGGGAGAGGAGAGTGGTACGAACGAAGGAATGAAAGTGAGAAGAGGAAAGAGGTAGTGCAAATGGGAGAATGGAAGTGGGAGAGGGGTGGGGAAAAGAAAAGGGTGTGGGGGAAAGGGGAGGAGTGGTGGTGTGAGAAGGGAGAAGAAGAGGGAGTGGAGGTGAGAAAAAAGGGAAGAGTAGGGGTGAAGGAGATGTGCTGAAAAAAGAGTGTGGAGAAAGGGAAGAGGAAGGGAAAAGAAAAAAGACTTTATGCAATTATATAAAATAAGTTTAAAGACTTATTTATAAATTTTAATTTTAAATGATAAAAAAAATGACATGATATTATATAAAGTGTTGAATTGGCTATTCGTCAATATTTAACAGAAAAAAAATTAATAGCATAAACTAAATCTTAATTTGTCAACTTTACAGAAACTAAATCTAAATAAAAAATTTTACAAAGAATTATCATAAAATGAACTCATCCTATTTAAAAAATACCAAATTTTTTAATTTAAAAAATAGACAAATTTTCTAATTTAAAAATGTACTAATGGACTAACAAACTGGTCTATCAAAAATTTTTAAAAACAATTAGTAAGCTATTAAATTATTAGGCTAGTCTACCAAAAATTAACTAAAAAATTAAGAAAACTTACAATAAATAATTAAAATATTTAAAAAATATATATTAATAAAAATTAAAATTTTATTAATATTTATTCACTTTTATTAAAAATAAATTTTAGACCCAACAAATTAACCTATTCCAACTTATCATTGACTAGCATTTTAGCTAGGAATAAATTAAGCGAACTGGTAGATCCATATCATTCAGCCCAATTGGCCAATTTTAGTGGATTTAGCAAACCAGCCTGTGGTTTCAAGTCCATTTTAACTCCCCTTACATTAATATAACAATTAATGCTAGTGTTAGTATTAAAAATAAAATAAAAATATTACGAGTCCTATATTGTCGGCTCTTAAAGAAGAAAATGACAATGCTATTTAATCCTTGAAATATTTCCACCTAATGAAAAATCATTTTCTGAAAAATACATGCGTCAATGAGCACACCACGTAATCTCATATAAAAGAAAGTCTGGTGAGCAAGCGACTATTCTAACCCCGTAACCTCATATCTCTTTGATTTAATGAAAATTTAACATAACATTAAATCTTTTATTTTTATAAAATCAATTTCAATTATCTTTTAATCAGTCTTCTAATCTTATAAAACACCATAACAAGATTTAAAAAATAAGTAATCTAAGAGTGAAAAAAAAGCCAAATTCCACTGCACGTTGCTTTTGAATAACTTTCGTAATCATTTCTTTGGTTTCTTCTTTTTGCTTTAATATCCCGAATTTAACTTTAATTCAAGATCCAGAGAAATATCCCACTGTTGACATTTTTTCTAAAATAGGTAACAACTATTCACCCATTCAATAAAGCGATTAAGGATTAAGAATAGTTTAACAACTTTGTTTTGTGCTACGAAGAGTTACTAGATATTTATTATTTGATGTCGTATATTAGACTCTGAAAAATTAATTGTAAAACTCAAGAATTGATAAATGTTTCATTTTTTTTTAAAAGGAAGAATAAACAAACCTTTAATCAACTAACAGAATATATGGACAATTGGTCAACCAGATAGTTTTTGTCTGCTATTGTCAACCAGATACTTCATCCCCATCCTTGCTATTTTATTAATATTCCACACTCTTACTTTTAAAAAATTCAAAATAATTATTTATTAGTGAACAATCTTACTGGAGTCTGATTTAACAGAATTATGTAAAGACTAAATATTTAATAAAAAGTATTAGATAATGGTATATTCAAAATATTAAACCAAAATCCAAAAATGAAGTTATTCAAAATCTCTCTACTTTTAGATTTTAAAAAAATAAAATTTAAAAGCTGTGAAATGTGACTTAGAGTAATAACGTGAATTCATATTTAAAAATTCTTACACTTAATTTAAATTTTTTATTTAATTTAAATTTAATGATTATAATTTATTATTTTATTAATAATTAAATTTAAGTTAAATAAAAAATATAAAACTTTTCAAACTTACGTTCTTCTCGTATGTATAAACGAAAGAAATAGGGAAAATTTAGTAGATAAGCACGTACCGAATTTGTTGACAATGTGGTCAATAAATGTGAAAAGATGGGGTGCTATGTCCTTGTCATTTGAGAGAGAATTTGCAGATTTTTGAGATATTGCAGCTTCCTTCCTCGCCTTAGCCATTTCCTTAGCATCCCCAACCACAAGTTTGTATGGATTGCCCTGAAGGCCCTGCGATCTCAACACTCTCTCAAATCTCTTTGGCCTTAGCCATAGCATATTCAGCACCTTCCACGTCCATAGTAGAATCAGAGGCACCAATATGAGAAAGCACGTTGCAGTTGTTGAAGAACTTACCTTAATCACCATACTCTCTGGAATAAACACTGAACGGTTCTAAACAGAGGAAAGGGGTTATTGGCACGCCCAGAGACCAACAAGGACTATTTATTTCTTCATTTGTTCGGTGTCCCTTTAGTTCAGTCCCCCGAGCCCACAAGTATTTGTGGTTCCAGCAGCTCAGACAGCTGCCATTATTTTTTACTATTTAAATTCAAATATAAAATGTTATAAATTCGAGTTAAATGCTCTTAATTACATTTTATACGTTAAAGTTATGTTTATAAAAAAAATTTAGTGTTTTTAAAATATATATGCTGTGTTGGAAAGAAATAAAATATATAAAGTTTGTGTTTTAAATTTTCAGGGTAAATTAATGTTAATTTTTATTTAAATTTAAGTTAATTAAATCTATTTGAGGATTTTTTAATTTCAATTCTTAAAATTGGGTTTCAATAATTAATAATACTAAACTTTTATAAAAAAATATTAATTATATTTTAATATCTTAAATATAATAAAAAATTTAAATAAAAATTACTACTTAAATGGTATCTCAAGAATACTAATTAAATAATTAATGTTATTGAATACATTTTTTTACATGTACTTTTTATTGATTTTTAACCTAGTATCCTTAAGGCCAGAGATGTTAAGAGGGTGGAGCGGACATAGATAGTAGCCCTATCATTGGTATCTGCAGATAAAAATTGGGATCGAAATTTTTATTTTTTTTTTCACCATCTGCACCCTACAATTTTACCATTTTTTATATTTTTATTTAAGTGAAAATTTTTTGTTTAAATAAAAATGTAAAAATGGTTTCATACTTGCCCTGTACTGGTACGGTTATTCGTTAAACAAATTTTAAACAGAATTACTATTATTCGCGGGTATTCACGAGTATCCGTTGATATTTATTAAAAGAATTATATTTTTTTAAAAAATTACCCTTATTTAAAGTAACTTATATTTAAAATAAAAAAAATAAAGCACTTAAGTTATAAAAATAGTATAATATTTTATTACAATAATAAAAATACAATGTTAAATTAAATATAATAAGTATAATATTTAAATATACATAATAATATTTTAATAATTTTGTGATTACAAGAATATGAAGGTATAAATATCTTAATATTTGCACACACCTCGTTAATAAGTGAATAAAAAAATGCGTTTAATTAAACTCACAGGTATTCACTTATACTAGTTTTATCCATGGTGAATTTTTATTTGTGAATATTCACGAATACAGAGTATTCTTGTCATCTCCTCTTTACTTTAAGGCACTTAGTTAGAAACACTCATACTTTAAATTATTTTAAAAGTGTATAAAATATTTTTATAATTTTAAATAATAAATTTAATATTTTTTAAAAAATTAAAAATAAAATATAAATGAATCATATTGAAATTTTTGTTTTGTAATTTAGATAAAAAGTAATTATTCTGTCCAATTTTTTATTTTAAATTAATTTTAATTTATTAAATATTATTAAGATGAATATATAAATTAATCTAAACTTTTATCAAGTGAAAAAAAAAAAAAAACTAAAGTTTGCAAGCTAAACAAAGTGAGACCCTTTTATCTCCACTGCTTGTCTTTATTTCGAATGGCAGCCAGTTTCCTTTGTTGTCCCTTCGAAGGAAGATGCGTTCATATTGTCGGTGTCACCCTTTATCAACATGCAGCAGAAGATTCCTCCACATTTAATTATTTGATTTAGCTTAACAACGATGTTTCCTGGATGTTTGGTATCGGAATGTTTTAATTTTCTCGGAACTTTGCTTAAAAAGTTTCCTTAGGTATAAGATAAAAAAAAAATTATTTACAAGAATTTGAGATTTTTAAAAATTTTAAATTATGAAGAAATTAAAATTTTTATTTTCTCATAGATATTCTCATAAAACTTTCGAAAAAAAATATTCTATTTATCTTATTTAAGTTTATCAATTTTAAATTATTTTTATAATTTTTTTTATTAATTTTTCTCACACTCTCTTCTTTATAGCTACTCTATTCTACTCTTTAGTAATCATGTACTCTTAATTTTGTTAATTTTTCTCTCTCAATTCTAAATTCATATGTAAAAGATATACTTACTTATTAAATTTCTAGGTTATATCAGTTCATCAAATTTTATCTTGACTATATTTTACGGCTAATATAAAAAATTAAATATTTAAAATAATAGTTTTAAAATATAATTATTATATTAAAGATATTAAAATATAACAAATTTTTTAAATTAATTACTATTATTATTTTTATATTTATGTTTATTTTTTAATTTTTAAAATATTATAACATAATAACTTTATTATTATTTATATTATTAATTTTATTTTTATAAGTTTTAATTTAAACTTTTATCAATAATTTTGTTTATTAAAAATAAGTTAAAAATAATAATAAATATTTTATAATCTTCTATAAAATATAATATAATTAATAAATATTACTAAAACTTTTTAAAACATACTAATTTAATATAACGGTACATAAAAAATAGTTTTTTTTAAAATTAAATTACTTTAAAAATACATTTAAGGGTTTAGTAATAAATTATTTTAAAAATACATTTGAGGGTCACTTAAAAAAATTCTGGATACTAAACCCCCTTTAGACTTTTTTTAAAAATAACTATTTAAAATTAAACCAAATATTATATAATCACATACAAAACAATAATAATAATTCTACTTCTATAAAATTTTAAAATATAAAAATATTTTTTATAAATTTTAAAAATATTTTTTAAGTGAATTAACTTACAAAAATTATTTTAATTTAACTCAAAATTTGCACAAATTTAAAAAAAGTTAAGGAAAGATACTCTTAAATAAAAATAAAAATAAATCAGTTTTTGAGAAAAATAAATAAATAATCAATCGGGTCATCATAGCTTCCAGAAACCTGTGCCATGTGGAACCCACGTTGTCGCTACGGTGAATCTTGCGTATTCGCAAAGTTTTGAGGTGTTGAGATGAATAATATTATATACACAGATCAATGATGTTTTTGACACATCCACTATGCTTTTAGGATTGTGAAGTTGAAGAAAGAAGAACAGGGAAAAAAGGAAAGCGATAAATAATGTAATAAAATAAAAAGTAAAGAGCTTTACGAAAAACTAATTTCCATAATAAAACTAAAATTTTAACATAAAATACATAAATCCAAAGAAAAACTTTAAATTTAAGAAGAAATATAAAGTAAGAAAATTTCAAAGATTTTATTTTAAAATTTACAAATGAAACGTTAAAAGGGAACAGACACAAAAGAACGTAGTAGTAATAATAATAATAATAAATTCTATTATCTGAAACTATATTGATTCCAACTAATCAGAATCTAATTTATCTATATTTCAAGAAAAATTTTAATATATGAAAAAATATAAGTGGCCGAAAGTGACTCAAAATTAAAATATATATTTATATCGTTAAATCGTTCAAGTAACTAGGAGTATGCCTCAGCTCTTGCTTCTCCCACTCCCACTTTGCATGCACTTTTTGTTTTTGAAAAACACAGCATTAACCTTCTATTAGGGTCTTTTCATCCTTTGAACATTTCATTTTTTAAACTTAACTTTAGTTTGTAGCAGTTCCTTAACTTACAAGCAAAGCTGATTCAACTTACTTTTTTTTAACTTGTCTAGATGTTAATGAATTCGTTACATTTCAATGTTATTAATTAGAACTTTGTGTGTTATGTTTACAAATTTTTTAACGCATTTTTAAATACACATTTTTTTAATTAAAAACGAGCATGAATAAAATAATAATAATAGTAATAAAAGGTAAACAAATATAATTAAATTAAAACAAACTAAAGAAAGAAAACATATAATATGACAGATCATTCTTTTTCCTTTTTCAACTTTTTTCTTTTTGTTTTTATTGTTATCATTTGTATTAAACATAGAGTATTGAATAAATATTGATTTAACTTGAAATATTTTGTTTTAATTTTTTTATCTAAAAAATTAGTTTCAATAAACAATACAGATATAAAGCTATAATTGTGAATTACGATTAAATTTATGGAAACATTGGTTTATATGGTAGTTCGCTTTTGTATAAACTTTACTTAATATAATTTGAATTGTCTTGTCACTATAGATAAATATTGAAATTTTATATTAATAGGATAGTACATTAAATAAATATTGTAAGTTTATATAATAATGGTAGTGGTTGGGTGGTAACGCCACTTTGCTCTCGATTCGTCCGTCCCTGTAGCCTTTAATTCGAGAAAGTGAAGCATTTGAAGGTTTCTCCAATAAGTTTGTTACACGTACTGAGATGTCCCCTTTCCCATTCAACAAATTTATTATAATGATTATGACAACTTAAATTATGTTATGTAAATAAATTTTATAATTTATAAAAAAAATAAAATTTTACGCAATTAGAAGTGATAACTACATTATTAGACAAGGGAAAGGTTACGAGTAAAGTATTATAATATCTATTTTTATATCTGTATAAATAGTAATTTTAATTCTTATACTTGTATTTGTATATCTGTACTTGTTCTTTGTACTCATATTTGTTTAAGAAAAAAAAAATTTATAAAAATATATGTTTATATAATTTTATATAATTAATATAATAATACAAAAGTTTGATATAACTTCCTAGCAAAGTTTAAATATAGATAGAAAATAAATATTCAAAAATCACAAGTGTTAAGTATATTTTAATACATCAACTTTTTAAACTAAAATACTTAAAAATTATAAACAAAATTTCATACAATAATCTTTAAGATTATATAAAACAACTAACTTATAAATTTAAGAGTGATATATTGTCATTGTCCAAAACCTAAAAAAAATATTAATTAATTATTTATTATAAAGTCAAAATAATATATATATATATATATATAAGCTATTTTATCTTTTCATCAGAATCACACTCTCTAATCGATTTATATTGCTTTAGTCCAATAATATCAAAAGAAACTAGAACATACAAGTAAATAATAAGAATTAATTTTTATATTAATCATGTAATAATTAAATTGTATTAGCACAGTTAAATGATATAAAATAAATAATAATTTTTTCTATTAAAAATATGAAAAAAATTATGATTTACTTTATTAATAAATATATATTTTATGTTAATCTTATAAAACAAATTTAATTAGATTGATTTTATATCT